CCGTAGCAATGAGGTTCCTGGGAGCTTTTCCCACAGCGAGAGGCGGTTGCTCTTCCACGGTTGGGTCGTTCTGCCTTGAAGCCCAGCAGAACAGGCATTGGATGCTCTTGCATGGAGGGAAACGTCAGTTATTGTACAAACTGCTTGGCTCCGGCTGTAGCACTGGGGTTTTAGCAGGGAGGATTGCGTTGCTGAGCTTTTGTGAGAAGCTTTGGTGACTCCATTTTCCAGGTGGGATGCTGCTCTCTCGCCCCACGTGTCCCATTCCATAGCCTTTCTGAGCCAAACACGTGATTTCAAGGTGCAATGACAGGGTCAGGCACCTTGTTTTAAGGAGCTTTGTGTTTTCACCACAACTAGTGCATCTCTTTTGGCCGTGCAGTGACGCCCCGCACCGGAGTTACCTCCCTCCAGCCGCAGCCGGGAGGTCCTTCATGGGAAGCCGGAATTACTGGGATTTTGATCCATAATCTGGGTCAAAATTTCTCCGTGTGTTTTGGTCTTAGGGCCAGGATTTAGTGGTGGGATGGCAGGGTTAGGGGAACGGTTGGGCTTGATGATCTTAAAGGGCTTTTCCAACCTAAACCATTCTGTGGTTTAGTTCCTTTGATCAGGAAGATGGGGTGTGCTTATGCCGCAAGCATCTTCCATGACCTGTGAGGCTCCGAGCTCAGGTGGGATTGAGTGGTTGAGCAGCCTGGAGGCGAAGCAAGGGGAAGAGGAGGAGGTTCGGTGGGGGGAAGGAGGCAATGGCAGGCAGCGGGCAAGGCAGGCTGTGCAGATTTACTGCCTTGTGGGCAGCGTGGTGGCTCCTACGGCCATCTCATGGGGTCCTGCTCTTGGTTACAGTGCCATGGGAACAGTGGTGCTGGACGGCCAGATCTACGTATGCGGTGGATACGATGGAAACTCATCCCTCAACTCCGTGGAGTCCTATTCTCCAGAAACAAACAAGTAAGAGCTCTTCACACCCTAAACCTTATCCATCGGTTTGCTGCTGGGGTAGTGCCATGCCGTGGCACCGCTGGGCATTTGGGCTAGAAAAGAAACGTGTCCTGACGGTGGAGCAGCGTCCCTCCTCACGAGAGTTTACCTGGGTGCAAGCCAACAAAAACATGGTTTAAATAAAATAGGCAGCGAAAGGAGTTACTGGAACTTCGTGCTAGAGAATCCGATGGAGCTGAAGTAATCCGTGGGCTGCATGCATGCCGTGCCCACAGGAGCCTTTGCTAACCTTTCCCCTCTCCCGGCAAGGTGGACGGTGGTGACCCCCATGAGCTCCAACCGCAGCGCCGCTGGAGTCACCGTCTTCGAGGGCCGGATCTACGTATCGGGAGGGCACGATGGCCTGCAGATCTTCAACAGTGTAAGTCTGCGGGGGGCGGGTTCCTGCAAGCCTTGTGCAGAAATTAATCAACTGTAGGTAGCCAAAAGGTTGGGCCAGGGCTGGGAAGGCTCCGTGCCCTTTCCCTGTGTGCCCAAACTGTCGTAAGCGTTTGCACCGCCAAATTCTGTCGTTCCCAGGGCTGCCCCTTCTTGCTCAGGAAGAAATGAGCCAGCCAGGTACCCACTGGGAACCAGCCTGGAAATGCTGCTCTTGTTCCCCAGCGCCAAAAGGATTGAGTTGGTGCCTTTTGTTGTCTCGCTGCTTCATTCACTTTTTAAATCCTTGTATTGTGGCATCCCTTTGAGCTCTGAAGTATCCCAGATGTCAGGCACTCACCTCTGCTTTCCGTGCCTGTTGGATAATCTGTGAAACAAGCTTCACGGCTGGGGGAGTTGGTGGTACGAGGGCGTTTGCCCTCTTCCACCCACTCCGCGTTTCAGTTTTCTGCCTCTTCTCTAAAGAATAGAATCACAGAATCACTTTGGTTGGAAAAGCCCTTTGAGATCATCGAGTCCAACCTTTAACCTCACCCTGCCATCCCACCACTACACCCTGGCCCTCAGCACCTCATCTCTC